CGAATCTTGCAATGGAAGTAGCTGAGGACAGGGCAAAACATCGTTACTAATGTCAAGAGGAAGGAGCTTTTAAATACTATTACCATCTCTTTATATTGTACCTGTAGTGATTTCAATAAGGAGTAATCAATTGGAAGTTATTGAGCCAAACAACAGAGAAAAACCTTGGCGATTAGAGAGAGATGCAAGAGAATTTTCTTTCTGTTGAAATCTTAAAATGTACAATATTACATGGGACAAATCCACAGTGGGATCACGCCTCATCCCAAACAAAGAAAACATAAATCAATAAAATAATACACATTATATACAGCTGGCACAGTAAGAAAGACAGAAAGAAGGCCCTGGCTCCCACGGTCGAAACACATGAAGACCAAGTGATTTCTAATGGTTGTCTGTTTATATGTGCGGCCCTGTGATAGACTGACAACGTGTCATGGGTATACCCTCACAATGCATCATGACACAAGCTTTGGTGCCAAAAATCAAAAAGATAACAATGAATAGATGGACGGCTATCAAACAGAAACCGACAGTATGTCCAGGCATCACATGAATGAAATGGCACCTTCTCTTCGTGGTCTTTTGGTTTTTCTGTTCTCCTAAGCAATGTGTGTGTGTGTGTGTGTGTGTGTGTGTGTGTGTGTGTGCGGGAATCTTATGTAAGGATGTCTTCTCCGTCCACATGTGCCGCCTCTTTTTCCCGCTGTATCCCTCACTCTCTCCATGCTTTTGTCTGTTTGTCCTCTCTCTCCCTCTGTGCATCGGGGCAGTGTGTCTCAGGTAAAGACACAACACTGAGAACAGGTTTTATAAATACAGTGTTTCCCTTGTCTCGCGTTAGTCGTCCCTTTTTTTTCTCCGGCTGTCATCACAATAAGGCGGCCTTGAGGAGAAAGTGTTACATAAAACGAAATATTAGAGGTGTGAAAAATACTTTGCCTACACAGACAAACCATGGCCTTCATTGCATTTTGCATAACTAAGATGCCTTACAGATTAGCACTTTAATATTTGAGAAGAAAAAGGAAACAGAAGGGATTCTTTGTTTCTTTTGGTAACAGATGTTTATTAGAAACCATAAGGAAATGTGTTTGCACATTATGATGGTTATTGCTAGAGATAAAATAAGCATTTGATGTATAAAACCTCCCAGCAAGAATAGAGATGTAATGATAATCACAGACACAAGTTTGTTACACTGGACAGCACTCTTTCTGTCCTTCACCTTTAAGCTTAATTACTAGGTTTAGGTCTCAATCATAAAGCCTCTTCATTCCCTTTTCTTTCCCGTTGTTTCATTATCTGCAAATGAACTCTGATAAACGACAGCCTGCAGACCCACACACATCAGCTATTCACTCATCTCGCTGCGTCCCCTACTAACTCTTTCCCTGCTCATCTTTCTCATTTCACTTCCCTTTGCCACTATTTAATTTCTCAACACGGTGCTATGTCACCCTCCCTCCATTCCTGTCAGGCTGTCCGACTCTTGCTTCCCCTCCCCCCCCCCTCCGGCCATCTATCTACCCACTCCTCGACTCCTGCAGTCGCACTTTGAAGACTTTCCCCACATCATTCCATCACTTTTGCAATTTATCTCATGGCACATTTCAGAGACCAGGAGCCATGAACGAGGTGCTACAGTATGAATTATGGTTGACCTTATTTGACCTGACACTTAATCAAAATGCTGTTAAATAATGATGCAAACTGGTCACGATTTTAAATTACAATGCACAAAAATCAAATGTTTGATTGAACAGTGCTACAAATCTTTCCTGGCAAGCAATTTGCACATTACTAAAGCCTTTCCTTGCCAAGACATTTATATGTTGTAGTGGTGCAGTGCCGTCCAATTAAGTAAATCAGTTTAGTTTAAAAATATAATAGTTGAGGAAGAATGTCGGAAAGACTTTTCACATTAAGTAATGAATTTAAAAATAGCTGCTGCAACCCAGTTCAGATATGATATTTTCTCTCTCTTTAAATTTCCCCTGTGCCAAGTCTCTAATTCACCAATAAATCCAGCCTATTACATCTTTTTTGGTCATTAACATTGATGCCTCTTTTTATCTGTATCAATAAAACATGAGACTTTATAGCAGCATAAAAAGAGCAGGATGATTTAGAGTGAGAGGAACGTTGGTGATGAGAGGCGTTAATAAAAACATAGACGTCTTATTTGGTTTATGTGCTCTCCTAGAAGTTCCCTAATTGGGACCTTTCTCCCTGCTACACAATCATATGCACACACACACACATATGCTGTCTCTCTTAATCACATTGACTTGACCTCACTGGTCAAGATCTAGACAGGTTACATATTGATGCACATGTAGCATTAAGGTGTGTGTGTGTGTGTGTGTGTGTGTGTGTGTGTGTGTGTGTGTGTGTACATGCATGTGTCTAGAGTACTGAAGACTGTATTGAGGAGATCAAGGGTCTGGTTCTGCATCAAAGAAGGCACTCTTTGATAAGATCCTGAGGGACTAACTGCTGTACTGCGCCAACTGTCATTGCACACACACACACACACACACTCATGCAGGCAGGCACGCACTTAGCATGCTAAAATATGCTGTTCATCCACATACAGAACTCTGCAGCTGCATCAGTTTCTTGAGTAGCTATGAAACAACATAACACCTGAAGGACAGGTGAATTTGCATGTCTGGCTGAGTGGTTCAGAGAGGCTGACGAGGCGGTTGCCCCTGCACTGTCTGATTGTCTGAATGCGAAAGCAAAAAACAAGGAAAAATGAAACCTTGCTTCACTGAATCACATTGACTCAAAACAGTCAATGTGTAGGCATAATGAAAATTACATTTGCTCTCACAAGACAACTCCTTTTAACTACTAGCCCTATTTTTAGCCCTCTGCTCGAAAATTGCATACTCATACTCAAGAGACTAAACTACCCAAACTACAAGGTCTATTTTAATAATTTTGATGGTCTATACAGGTAACACTTGTGAGATGTGTAAATATTGTGTAAATATTGTGTATATGTTACTGGTTAATAACTGATACACTTATGGCACAGCTCAAGTTGAAAAAGTTCCAGGTTCGCCTGAAAAAAAAGCACTTTCATTGACATTTTTTTGGAATTATTGCAGAGTGAAGCCTACAAATACTCCTGTGTCATAGCACAACAGGGTTGTGGTCTCTCTAAGCTCATTTTACTTAGATTGAGTGAAGCAGGCCAGCATAATAGGAGGTCTGAGTACAGAATTTCAAGCTGAATGCTCATTTCTCTCTCATGCTCTATTCTAATTTTATATACTATATAACTATATATTTCACTTTTTTTATTACTCATATTATTCAATACATCCAAATACAGATGTTAGGAATCATTTTGAGATTCCTAGCATCATCAGAGCCTGTCTCTGGCTCTCAGCCATAGGATTTTCTCAGTCCCTGTGTGTGTATGGCGCTGTATCTCAGCCTATCATCGGTCGATTTCAGTCAATAAGCCCTCCTTCGATGCGCCAGCGTCTCAGGAAGGCCTCTGTCGGATTTGGTGTTGATTGACATAAATTTCAGCCACTAAAGTTGCAAAGAGTGCCGCGTCTCCCCGAGCGTAAAATTCCATTGGCCGAAAGTCTGACCGCTGGCCCGAGGTGTGTTGACCCCCCTTCCACAGGAAACAGCTCGGCTGTAAACAGAATGCACTTCGCGGCCATGACGGTAGCTCGGAACCGGAGCATTTTCGATGTTTTTGTACTAATATTTCATAAAACCTGACCAAAAACCATAGATTTTTTCCGGTGAAGACCAGTGGCATTGGACCGTTGTCCAGTCACAGCGTTGCGGTGTGTCCACGGAGAGAAGAACCGACAGTATGTACGCGTTCTCTGCGTGATGCTAATGCTAAACGATGTCCGGATTAGCTGGCTAGCTGCTAGCTTCGTGGTGAAAATATTGATTTGAGCAGACATAACGCCGATTTCTGCCCAGGATTTCATGATTTTATGCCACGTTTTCTAGATGCTTATACTAGTGGTCTATAGTTGTGTTTGGAGTGTGTAAAAAGTGACTTATATGATAGTGTTGCCCATACGTTGCTGTTTAATCCGGAAAAAAAAACTGGACAGATCCACAATACTGGCGAACAATAAGGCTATTTTCCGAACAATATTTTCAGGGGTCCTGAGCCCGAGAGCCCCCCAAATGGGGGGCGCTCGTAGCCAGTAGGATCTTCTGAAAAATCTCTCCACAACACTATTCTTTTTTTCATCTTTTGTTTGGGGGAGATGTTGTTTTTTTTTCTTATTATCATTATTTCAGGACAATCCCTCACATTCACACAAGCCTCGGCTAAATGGCCTAACCTTGATTGGTTAGCTAGAGGAGGTGAGGATGAGGGTGATGGCAGCGACGCTGCACACGTCTATTTTAATTGCTCCAAAGATGACAGCAGGAGTTTAAAAATAGAAAGCAGTCTCAGAGCACTCTCTCTCAGCCTGGGAGTCCCAGGTTAGAACCACTGAGGGCAGAGTGATAGAGCATCCCGCTTCTCGAGAGGCTTCACCAGCAAACACATGATGTAAGACGAGAGAGAGGAGGAGAGAGGGGAGAGAGAAAGAGGTAAGCATGCTGAGCCAGGTGTTCTACTTCACCAAACCACTAAGCTGATATTAAATTCTGACTTGACTTCATCCTGGAGCACTGAGCCACTCAGCACTTATTACATCATCAGACCTGGAAAGAGGCCCAATGATGTCATTCCCAGGGTGATGAAAGTGGGTACACACAGAAATCAATGGATAGACTGTAATATTAAAAGAAAGAAAGAGTCTTTTACCGTAGATAAAATGATCTTATGAGTGATTTTCTGTGAAATGAAGCTGTTGGATGTGACGATATTTTAACCTCAACTTAATCCATTAACCTAAAAGGAGCTAAATGCTTCTAGTGGTAATACTGTTCTTCTGAATATACACACACACACACTTAAATTCCCACACTGTTGAAATAAAAACATTAAACTTTTCTCAGAACTTGCCATATTTTATAGTAACGTACATACATTTACATTTCAGCTGTCTTTGTGCTCACAGTAAGGGGGGACAAAACACCTACAGTAAACATGTGGCTCACACGCACACACACACACACACACACACACACACAGTCGCTTCAGTACCAGCACTCTCACATCGAACACACGCACATAAATGCATCCACAGTTAACTGTCCCCAGTGCACTCTGTCTGTTCCAGTCTATTCTCAAACCACCTAATTTAGGCTTTCTTGTACTTAATAAGTAATCATATATGAAATACCACTTATACTTACAAAACATGTTCAACAACTCAACCATAAGAGTACAAAACAAGAACATAAATAAAAACAATCTACATCTTTATGAAGAAAACATTGTCGTTATAAAATAAACTTTAATAATCCACATTTTTTACAGCATTGTCAGATGTGGTTCATTCTGGTTTTCATACGATGGTCTCGGTTACTATTTATAGGAGGAAGAGCCGGAGAAAGAGAAGAAGAAGAGGGAGCAGAGGAAGAAAAGAAGAAGAAGAGTAATAGCGACATTTAAGACATTCTGCACTGCACACGGTTACAGTGACAATTGGTAGTTGCCATGGAGATGACGTTGCGTGTTACCAGGTGATTTTTCGGTGACAGTCTTTGGGATCATTTAAAGCTACAGGGTTCTCTTTGTCAAGCCCCGCCCTCGTCCGCTGAACCCCAATAACTTCAAAGATAAGTGATTGAGTGATTGATTGAATGATGACATCACTTAAAATGACCCTCCCCATAACACAAAAGCCCCCCCACACAATTTATTTCCCCCCTTGCCCTCACTGAAAGTCCAATGGGCGTTAAATCCCGCCCATCCTCATTCCATCCCTCTCGTGGTTGGACCAGATCAGACATGGACGGCAGAATCCACTAACACCGTGGCGCTCTAATCCTCTGACAAGCCGTGCCACTTGGCAATCTGGCGACGCGGGTGGTCACAGATCTCCCTCCAGTGCTCGCCGGCTGTGCCCGCCACTGACGTTCCCAGCACCAGGCGCCCAAGGCTGGTGTTGGGGCAGCGCGAGTTGCCTGTGTCTGAGTCCATCAGCAGCAGCTCCACGCTGGTGTCTCTCAGGCCCTCGTCGGAGGGCAGATCAAAGACAAAGAGCTCGTTGAAGACGGGGTTGGGGGAGCACTTCTTCACATGGGTCTTCTTCTTACACACGCGCTTCTTCCCTTGGTACATGTTCACCTTGACGTACGGATCTAGGGTGCGAAGGATAACAAGAGCAGATGAACCAAGTAAGGACAAAAGCAAAAAAAAAACACAGCATGGTGAATATCCCTGCAGCGGTTGCAGAGTGGGACATTGCTCCTAGGCCGGATCAATACGGTAATCGATAGAGCGGAAATGATGGATGTTAGCGATGGGGACAAAAGAGGCTGGCTGTGTAAACACTTTGAGTGTGTGTGCGTGTGTGTGCTTGTCACTAAAGTGCTCTCTATCACATCCAGATCACATTACTTCAGTGCGGTGGCGGTGTCATTACTATCGCAGCATCCAAAGTGGTCTTGGCTGCTTGGCAGGAGGAGGAATATGACTTCCGTCGCATTCGTTTTATGGGTATGTGACTGAAGTGTGTGCACACATCAATGGATTGCATTTCGAAAGGTCCCGCTGAAAGTGTACCGTGTGTACCTGTGGGTCCGTTGTTTTCAATCTTGGGCAGATGGCGAGCTTTGAGGACGACCACGGTCAGCGTGTTGGTGGTGGACTGGTAACACAGGGAGAGCAGCAGCTCGCCTCGGCCCGAGGACTTCTGTAGAGAGACAGACGTTGTGTTGTTAGTTTATTGTTGAGTTAGGCTAAAACCATTGCCACATTTTTCCTTTATGTAATGAAAAAGTAATGCACACATGTATTCAGTAACACCTAAGAGAGTTTAACTATTGGCTAAACTATGTATTAATAAATAACTTAGTAAATAATTAGTGACTATCGACAACATTGGGGGGAAACCTGCAGCTGCTTGTACTGCCAGTGGTGTCTCTTCTGCCAACTGAACAATCATCACCTGCTTATGTGTTGCGCTCTCATGTCTCAACTAGCACAAACGGGTGAGGGAGAAGCTCCCTTCTCTGCGCTACATCTGTGATACACACACACACACACACACACACACACACACACACATCCACACCAAAGAGAGTTGACGCCTCGGCTGCTGCGATCACACCAAACGGGCTCATGGTCGCCATGGCAATGAGAAGTAGCACACGGGCAAAGACAACCTCTACCCCTGACCTGATGCTAAGGTCTCTGAAAATACAGATGTGAGTGTGCTGCAGATGTTTTTCTATATCATTCCTCCTGGGTAGATGTATTATAGATGAGAGAACAAGCGACTACAGACTCACACATACACGCACACACACACACACACACACACACATCCTACTCTATTCTAATGTTTTTGTCATCCTCCACGGTGAAAACAGGGCGATGGCTATGCTGCTTGAGACATGCTGAATTGATTCTCTGCTGCGTGCTCACACATGCGCGCACACAAACACACTTACCCGCACAAAGCAGTGAGACTAAATCTATGCCATGCAGACAAAGAGAGCCACCACCCTGTAAGCAAAGGGCTGCTTCTAATCAGATGGAACACTGTATACGCTTCAAATTGACAGAATTCAGCCCAAAGCAATTGTCTATTGCACATCATACACATAGCCACATGGTGATATTAAATACTAGATGTAATATAGATGAGCAAATCCTAATCTTCTTAAATTATTTTGTTTCTTTGCACACATTCCCGTTGTCCATCAAAAAAAGGTTGTTTGCACTTTGATTTAAAGGAGTTCTCTTTCCAACGCAGAAGAACTGGTATGTTCTCTTTAAATAAAGAAAACACTTTAAATAAGCACAGCTGATACACAGTAAACAACTACAGTTAAAGTTGCCGAGCCTTTTTCCTCTTTTCACCTGCCGACATGAAATTATTGATCTCTGCAAAGCAACATCATGGATTCTAAAAATCATTTTCTATTGTTTGCACTAAAAAGCATTCAGACACAGCAGACTCCTCCCTGCAGCAGAGGTTTATGAGACCCGATTGAGAAATGGAATTGAAAAAATATATATATGGTTAGTCTCAGCGTGGATAGAGCCAGCAGAACATTTAAAAAATAGTACCCTCTTGATGATAAATAAAACATAGGGAGCTCTGCTGAGGGGGAATGAACATTTTATATCTCTCAGAATCTGAGTCGCATTTCCCAGCACTTCTCTAGAGTACTATATCTTATCAGAGATCTTTAAAGATATTACAGAAAGCTCAAATGTGGGTGAACATTTCCTCTCCCACCCGGTAGCCACGTGTGCTTCCATTAAAGCAGAGTACAATATCAGTGCAGAAATCTATAATTACATTGATATCATCTCCCGTTCCACCTGCAAATGGACAAATGTTCATGTACGGCCTCACCATCTAGTACCAATCTATAGAGCACTGCTGTGTACTAGACCACAGACCTTTGATAAGGACAGAGCTATCATCTTATCATCCATCGTTCACCAGTACACTTAATGCAATGCAGTCAACCCAATCCAATGCGTTTTTAAGGAAATATATATATACTCATGGGTATTTTCCGTCACAGCTGTCACAGTACTACAGCACAGCATATCAGCCCACATGTCACCAAACTGGCTCTGATACTGAAGATACATGACGTTCATCTAACAGGAAAAAGGTCCCACTGGAAATGAGCTTGCGTACGTTTGTGGTCCTCACACTTGCCGGGAACAGCCAGTCTGGCGCAGAAGTCTACTGACCACCAGCCCATAGATCCATCATGTGCGGTGTGGATATCCCTCCATCTAATCAATACACTACTGGGAATGTTAAAATGTCCATGTGATTCCCTTTCAAATCGACCGTCCCTGTGTCACTGTTATAATTCTCTTCATTTAATTTAACACAAATTAACCATCATTTTGAGTAATTTGATGGTTGGCTAAGTGGCAGGTATTTTCAGAGGAAACATGTCATATTGTATGTGTTACAGCTATAACATAAACATCAGCTCTTCAGGATTTAGGTAAAATCAGGTAAAAGGAATAGAATACAAAAACTGATAATTGACAAAAACGAAAACCAAAGGCTGTTAGGGATCCAAACTGGCAGCGGCCCAATAAAGAACAATACCAGACCTCAGTTGAAGCTTAGAAAGACATAATGGTGCTACAGAGCCCATCCCCATTGGCTTCATTTCACAATAACCTAACCAGTGATGGATACAATGAAAGGGAATTGCTTTATTGAATTCGCTAAATGGATTAGCTTTCATTCAAGGTGCATATTATGCCATTAGAGCTAAATTAACACTTGAAAGCAGTATGAGAGATTTCACTGTGTCAGGAAAGAGGCATTTGCATTTAGATGAGTTAGAGAAAGCTCCATGATTAAAATATCATTACTTATTGATAGGAAAATGGATTTCAGGATAATTATGGACTGACTTGTGTACTGATTTATATCACATTAGTGGAAGCACTTTTGTCGAGAGAAATGAGTCATTGGGCCAGTTTTGCAATTTGAAGTAATTTTGCGGTGAGACTGTTTGTATAATATAAATATATAGTATGCAGCAAAATCATTTTGAGACACTGTATGAGTCAGAAATTGAAACCCAAAGATTGCGCTCAAGAAAACTGATAACAAATAAAAAAAAGCTGAGAAGAATCATGAATTCAAAGGGTTCAAACAGGATTGTTCCAGATCTTACCTTGACATTCTTCTTGATGATTTCTCGGCTCATGAGGACACGGCCCTCTGATAAGTCGATCCCAGACAAGGGTACAAGGGTCTCTCCGATGACCTCATCGCGGGAGAACCTATCAAAGCTCAGCACCATGAAGTGAAGGGCCAACTCCGACACTCGGGCCAGCGGGATCCCGTAGAAGCTGAAGGTCTCGTCAAAGGCGGGGTCAAGAGTCTTCCTCAGGACTCTGGTCTTCACCCGGTGCTTTTTCTCCGGCAGCAGGGTCAGCTTGATGTAAGGGTCAGAGGTCAGTGACTGCTCATCAGTTGGAGTCAGGCCATGGGCTTCCTAGATCAAAGTCAAATCAATCAATCAGACAAGAATGCATGAAACCATTTCTCTCAAAAAATGATTGTCAAGACACACAAAGACGTCAAACCACCAGCCTAAGCACATACAGTACCTTGATATGGACGATGAATGCCTTCTTCTCTGGCTGGTATTCCAGGGAGAAGTGGAGGGTCCCTAGTCCGCCCACCCGCTCCTCTCCCTGGGGCTTGTCCACAGCCGGGGTGGGCGCCTGGCTGGAGAGGGTGCTGGATGGAGAAGGGGGATCACGGCGGTCCATCACCCCAGGTTGGGTGAACCCTGCATGGGGAGAGGGCAGCTCCAGGTCCGGGGAGCTCCGCACCTTCTGGTTGTGGTGATGAAATGGTTTGGTGGTAAAGTTGCCATTCAGATCCCTGTTCTCCAGATCCAGATGCAGAGCCTGTCTAGAACCGTTTGGACTCGAGTCCAGTTTACCGTTGCTGGTCGGACTCATTGGTGCCACGGTGTGGCAGTTTCCATTAACATCAGTCTTACCGGTGTCGTTAGTTGTCATGGTGGCATGTGCAGCGAACTTCTTCTTGTTGCTGAGGCTCTCCGGGTAGATGTCGACCCCTTTGAGCATGTGCACAAACTTATAGGGAGGTGTCTTCTGGGACTTGCCGTTTTTACGCTGGCAACAGATCCATGCAAACGCTGACACAGTGAAGACAAGGCCGAAGACACTCACCACAGCGACACCTACTGGCACCGCCACTGTGGAGGAGGACAGAGAGAGAATATAGCTTTAATTAAAAATGTCTGACCACACACCTCAACAAACACTGTGCAACAAGCACCAGTAAACACAAAACAATTGTTCTCCTCAACAGATTTAACTGTTGCACGGAGGCAATTAAAATCTTTTGTGGGTGCGACTGACGCAGGCTGCAGTCTTGACTCGGATGGAGATGAAGACAACGCAATCTGTTCAACCCTGAAGAGGTACGATCAGTACTGTGTTCATATTCCAAACAAATCCTCAGGAAACAGGTGGTGGAAATAATGAACTGCTGGGAAAGCAGTTGGTGTATCATGGTTCACCCTGATATCCCAACTGATAGAATGGCATAATAGCCCAGAAATTAGCGATAGGCCCCGTGTTATATTGATTTATATTCCTCCTACTTTTTCTTCAGCAGTGTCGGTACTTTAGGGACCTAATTCCTTTCAATGGCACTTTTGTCTATTATAGCATCACTACAACGTTACTATGGAGACACTACTGGGATATTTGGCACTCAGTGCTTCGGTTCTTTGTTTTGTGATTTTAAACTGTGACTCAACAGCAATCATGCTGCCTTCTCATGCAGTCAGAGTTAATAGTTCTATTTCAATGGAGGAAATGCGCACTATTTCCTGCAGTTAAGAGGGCGGCCCAGTGGAAAAGCAATCAGGGTACCACCCATACAAGGAGGGAGTGAGAGGGGTGGGGTTGGGGGGTGAGCATATCACTCATGTGGGCCACATATACAGGTAAACAGCAATGTATCACAATAGTATAGACGTACATTCTTCTGTGAAAGTTGTCGGCATAGAATCGATCTAAAATGTATTGCTAACCTGAAGGGACTGCCTCTAACTAACGAAGGACAGTGAGCTCATTGCAAGTTCAGATCACAGCACTTGTCCATACTGTTTTCTCCCTTTTCTTGTCATTAATATTTCAGCCTAACTTCCTGGGTGGACAGGTTTTCAAGGCAACAACAACAGACAGATGGATGTGGCAACGGGAGGGCGGTGATTGAGCTGCTGAATCGAGAGGAAATAAAGGAAACAAACAGGTGCTTTCCAGGCTTCACCTGTGCTTCAGTAAAACCTGCTGTACTCAAGTATATTAATAATAATAACAATAATGAACTTATCTAATCTAGACGTAAAACATGTCACCTGCACCCCCATTGGTTGGTTTTCCTGATGATTTGCTGTCACCCTTAAGCTAGCTGTAAAATGGAGGCTGGAGCTTTTCCCAAACACAAGGGGGGGCCAATCATATTTTTGGACCCCCCTTTAGACACGCCCCTGAACAACGCACTGGACAAAGCCATTCCCTTTAACTTGAGTATTGTTTAATAGAATGGGCTACTCTAACATACAGCTATATTTTTTAAAAACAACAAAATAGTGCATACATCAAAATGAAACACTCGCTTTTTTTACGCTCATTCGTATCTTAAAAGGTTTAAGATACTAAAATTAGAAACGCTATCTAATACTTTTGAGACAAGTGACGTGTAATGATTAACTCTGTACTTTATGAAGATGAACAAGCCCAAGTCTACCACCAACAACATCACACATTAACAACCGTATCAATCTAATCAGTCCCACTCACCGAGCTGAGCTCCTTCCTCCACAATTGGAGCCATGTTCGCTGTCCAAGGTGCTGAAACGGTCCGTCTGCTTTCACACCGAGCTCTCTTCTCTACGGCGGTGAACTCGCTCTCCTGATGACAAGGTGCGGTAAATCTCCACAAAATCTCGGCTTTGATTATATTTAATAATGAAAAAGGTTTTGTACGGCTTCAATAATTGAAAAAGGGGCAGCCTTGTTTTCCCAGAGAGAAGGATGGAGGGATGCTTTGTCCTCACGCTGCTGCTGTTACTCTGTGATGCATGAGTGTGTCTCAGAGGCGGCAACACCCAGTTTCTTCTTCCTCTCTCTCTCTCTCTCCCTCTCTCTCTCTCCTTGTTTGCTCCGTCTCTCTCTCACCCTCCGTTCACCAACTCCTCCCCCTCCCTACCGGTAACGCTGAGCTCATCAGTGCTGACGCAGTAGTGACGAAGGCTGGCTGTGAAATCAGGACCCAGGGCTGCCAATTCCCCTGATTGATTGGAAGTGAACGGCCTTCGTCTCAATCACTCTGTGTCTGTGTCTAGTTGCGTATTTCTGTGTGCGTAGGCCTTCTTCCCTTTTTGTTAAGACTGGTGAATAGATGTGTTATACTGAGGCCCTATCATGCATTAAAGTTAGTTGTATTTTGTCTGGTTTTTATGCAGTGATGTTTTCCTCTGATTTATAGATTGTTAGAATAACAGTTTGTTTATAGTATCATTTATTATAAACCTTCTAAAATACTGCAGATGAACATTAACTAATTACACTCACAGCTGAATAAAGAACAACCCTTGTATTCAAACTACTGTATGTGCACATTATCCCAAATATGTTAAGGTAGGCCTACTGACATCATGCAGATCACTGTGTCCTAAGTTGCAATGCTGCGTATTATTAATAATTTGATGATTAAGAATAGGTTACAGAAAACATAGTTTCAATAGTTTTTTTTAAATACAGTAAAAACAGTATATATTGTATGATAAGTGTGTGTAATTCACTGCACACAATGAATACAACGAGAAGACAATAAGCGGGTGACAAAAAGGAAGGAAATTAAAAGTTTGGTGGGTTGGAAGACATATGTTATGGCTTTTAAGTTGTGTGATGACTTTGTGTATCCAGCCCAAAATAAGATGGACTGGGTTGTTTGGCTCATTTAAAATAAACTATGTTACCACTTGTGATGTTTAATGTATATTCATGTGT